CGACGACTTCATCACTGACTTCTTCATGGGAAGGGCCATGTTGAGACAACAAAGAGGCGCAGAATCCAGGCCAGGACGTCACAAGTTGCTAGCAGGCTTGGGCCAATTTACAGGCATTCCCAGCCATGTCTAAGGAACCTTCTTTCATTGAAGATGCCCATCCTAAGCCAACATAGCATTCTTGTACCAAGAAAAAGGGTATGTTGAAGCCAGCTTGTGCCTGAAGAATCCTGAAGAATCCTGAAGTTCTGAAGCCTTTGGAACATCTGGGACCGAAGAATCTGCAAGCTGTCCGGCCCAAATGTTGGTGCCTTCACTGGAAGACGTGCCTGTAATCCGACCTCTCATGGCCATGGCATACTCTAATGGCATAGCACCGCGGCCTCCCAAGGTGTTCATCTTCAGCTGCTGCAGCTTCAGCCGCCTTCAACTCCTCCTCAGCGAAGGTCAGCACAATGAGTTGGATAGGTTTCCAGTGCCTAGCGATGCTTAGCGCACCACACCCTTTCCACTCAAAACGCTGCAAATGGGTTTGTGCTTTGGTGCAGCTTGCACTTCAAAAGAGCTGCCTGTCAGCTTCCACTTTTGGCTATGGCTCAAACGCTAAGGTACTACACATGATGGTTACTGGTAAGCTCGGCAGTTTCACTCCAAGATCATTGCCGACTAGACTAGAGTTGCACGTTCCCTCTTTTTTTGGCGTTGGCTTGACCACAAGAAACCACACAGCTCTTGCTGGCAAGGAGCAAGCTCTTGCCTGCGACGGCAGCTTATCTGATACGTTAAGAAGGAAAGTGGAAGTTGGTGAGAGTAGTGTTCAATCGGACACCTATATGAGCGACCGGCAAAACTAGGGGTCGTTTGGTGGTAGGTTTAGCGCATGGTATCGTTTTTGGGATTGGTATCGTGTTTTCAATCCATATGCAATTTTTTGGGGGGGAGGTATCGTCTACATGTAAATTGCTCTGGAAGGTGATCTTGCAAATGATGACTAGTAGTCGTCGTGCACTAGTACTAGTACTAGTACTAGTACTACTACTACTACTACTAGTAGTAGTAGTAGTGGTAGTAGTAGTAGTAGTAATTGTAGTTGTAGTTGTAGTTGTAGTTGTAGTTGTAGTAGTAGTAGTAGTACTAGTAGTAGTAGTAGTAGTAGTAGTAGTAGTAGTAGTAATTGTAGTAGAAGTAGTAGTAGTAGTAGTAGTAGTAATTGTAGTAGTAGTAGTAGTAGCAGAAATAGAAGTAGTGGCAGTAGTAGTGGCATGTGAGTGGGCAGGTGGTGTCTGAGGGGATACAGACCTATGAAGTGGGTATCGTTTGGTATCGTTTTTGGTATCGGTCTGAACCCATAATTGTTTCCCATCGAAGAAAAAGAAGGGAAACTTAGCAAAAATGAAATGGAATGTCCAGCTAGCATGGCAAACCATATGCAAAATAACCTTGGACATACACTGTCTCGAGTCTCGAGTGTCAACATTGTCAACAGGCAAAGATAGATTCCAATAATTTCCAAGATGTGTACCGTCACGAGGCTAGGTATCGTTTTTGGGATTGGTATCGTTTTTTCAAGGAAAATGCAAATGGCTCATTTTTGAAGAACCGTGAGTGCCGACCTTTAGCACTTTGCTCATATGATGATGTGATTCAAATCTGAGCACCTCGACAATTCAAGCATCCTCTAAATGACCTGTTCTACTTTCCACATGATCAAACTGATATCGATTCATTTAGCCCCTCAAAAGCCTGGCTGGAAAGCCTCTTAGCTCCTAATTACTGCAAAATCCTCAGCAAAATCCTCTGCAACTCCCTCCCTCTCGGCCTCAGCCTCTCTGTCTCCGCCTGTGCCTGCTTCAGCTCCTGTGACCGAATATGGAGGTGTGCCCGAAACTGGTGGTAGCTATGGCAATTGAAAGCATCTGCAACCTTCTGACCAGGCACTAAGTCCTACTAAGTCTTTTACAGTAATTTCTTCCTACCTGCAACAAGAGATGAATGCATTGCATTGAGAACGCTGGAAGCGGTTTTGCTTTGTACTATGAAAGAAAGAAGAAACACCCCTCTTGGTGGTACAGTACACCTCTGCGCCTTCGATGCTCGCCTGCAGTGTTGACCTCTAATTGTGGTTGATGCCACCGTTTTCAAGGGCAATATGTCGAGGGCTTTGACCGGTCTAGTCTATTTCAGGCTAAGACTCCTGACGCCCCCGTCGTCTCCGGTGGCTCCAAACCGTGACTCTCCGCCTCAGCCACTGGAGAGCTGAGGCTGGAGGAAAAGGACGAGACAGGCCGGCGGCTGGCCTGGCGAAGGAGCGGCCAGTGCTGGAGCGACAGGCGGTGGAGGCGGCGGCGGCCACTGAGATATCTTCAGATCGTGGCATCCTGTTGATCGTGGCATGATGTTGTATAGACTGTCAAGCAACTCATGCTCTTAGGTTGGAGGCCATCGCTCTTAGGTTGGTCTTGGGGACCTGGATGATCCGTCTAGATAGACCAGTTGATTACTTCAATTTCCTTTTCCTGAGGCATCGTTGACGGCTACTCTGGACACGTGCTTCACAAGAAGACTGCAAGACTGGCCCCGCTCGCCAAGTAGTTCCAAGCAGTTTAGTAGAGACCCTAGGTCTCGAAATCAAATGATTTCTCCAGCTGCTTTCTCAGCAGCCAGTAGTTGGGGGTTCGTCTGGGTGAGTGTGTTCCACCCAAAACGCTCGACAGCTGATGCAAGGCTTTCTCCGCACCTGCTCTTGCCCATCCACCAGGAAAATGGCCTGAGACCCGGAGAGATTCCGGTGGGACATCGTCCGCTCGCTTTAACACCCGATGTTTCTGGTGGAGTCTCAACAGTGTCCCAATGGAACCGGCGAGCGGGATCAATCAAGCAGAAACCTAGCATCTTCAAGACTTATCAAGACTTGTTGACCCAAAAGTTTTCGAAAGGAACGCCCAAATCGTACCTCTCTTCTGGCAGAGGATTGCTCCTTTCACCCAACGAGCCTTTAACCCCAACAAGGCCCTGTTCCAGGCCCCGCGCGCGGAGCAAGGCATCCACCAAGCAGAGGCAATCGCCTTTCTTGGGATGCCGAAAACCCCCAAGAGACTCAAACAAACGATTTATGAGGCCAAGTCGCCAAACTTCCTAGACACAAGACCATGTTTGTTTTGGTGGTACCAAAGAGCCTTCAAGGCGTTGTTCACCTACCCCTATATCGACCCTGAAAGACACGACACATTCTCCAGGGTGATGCAAGATTGAGAAAGGTCCTAAGGTAGTTTAAACCATGGAAGGGGCTGGGAGTGCGTCTCTGGTGAAACAGGACAAAGCTGTGCAGGCGCAGCAAGAATACAGGAAGGTATGGATAGAACCTGGGAGGGGACGAAAGCCAGCCGCCGTAAAAGATATCGTTTGGTTTGCAATCCCTCTTTTCCTATCACGTCCTCCTCCCTATGCCTGTCTCGTCCACATGAGCTCGCACCCCATATGGGGTGTCAACGGACCACAGCATACATGAACTCGCACCCCATATGGGGTGACCTTGTGCGTATAGTTGACAGGCGTCTTCACCATCTAAAAGGGCACCCCCAAGCAACTGTAACATTTCTTGCAAGCCCTCTTTTCCTACCACGTCCTCCTACGCTATGCCTGTCTTCCACCTTCCCACTGCATTTTGGGTCCTCACAGATCACACAGTGTCTTAAGAGACACACACCTCCTTTTCACCCCTGGTCGAACACTGCTTCACTGGCCATGATAGGCGCACATCTCCATTTTCTGGAAGAATTCAACCACTTTTCGCGTCCGGTTGTCCCCTCTTTCCTATCATTGACCTGAACTCCCACCACTGGTAGAAAACGGTTTACATTGCCTCCTGAGCCCCTCGTGATGCGAATGATGCACTACTAACCGTCAATTACATCACCGGCATCACAACACCCCCAAAAACTACTCGCGTCATGTTCACTACCAAGTGGCCACCTCTATTTTTTCGCTCTCCCCCACCAGGCTCTGGGTCAGCCTCTCCAAGATTGCCCCTCTCGCAACCACCCCCCCACACACACCCTTTACTCACTTCGTTCGCATAGCTACCATAAATAGATCCAGCGCAAAAGCCAAGCATCACGCATGTCCAAACGAATTGCAGACCAACATCATAGACCAACAAAAAATCACTCCAGTGGCTGCTTGCCTACCCCCGGTGATCATTCTGCGACTCGGCCCAGAAACCGGAAACGCTGAGGCGTCTGCACGCCGACAGGCACATGGTCCTGCGCGTGAAAAAACGTGAAGACTTTACTTTGTGTATATAAACTAGATATAATATGAAATATATATATATAATGTGTATATATATATAATACAAACACAATATATATATATAGTAAATAATATATATATATATACTATAATACCATTCCCTGTAGCAGTGGATGGTGATGGTTAGTAAGGCCTTTCTAAAAAAAAAAGTGACAGTGACAAATGGCTACCGACTTTTACAGGTAGCGCGACTCCCCCAAACTGTGGGCCATGAACCGATCCAGACATTGCCTCACGGTGGCATCTGCATAAACCAAATGGGTTTTCTTCGCCTTTCCTGTTCATGTCGAAGAGTGTGTGGGCTGCGTAAGTCTGCATCCTCAGCACAGCGCAGCAGTGACAACAAAATTACTGTTCCTATCACAGAAATTCTAAAACCTTGGCTCCCATCCCTGTTTGAGATATTGTGACAATCCAGCACCAGCACCCCACACTCATTGTTTCTCGGCTTAATTATATACTTGAGAATTCGATGATGACATGTGTTTCCTAGGGTCCGAGACATCTCTATGATTTCGAAACACTCCCAATGTCTCTCTATCACGATGACCTGCTTGGCGGCCGCACTCGGCGGGGGGCACTAGGCCCAATTGGATGAAGACCGTCGTCACCTCGATCATCGAAGGCATCGGGTCCAATCAGATTGTTCATGTCTGGGAAGGTGTGATTATGGTAGTGACAGTGATTTCTTTCAGAGAAGAGCGAGCAAATGAATTTTGGTTTTGCAGTCACTTGCAGCCACTTTCTCGGGCAGCCACTTGGCAGCCACTTGTCATTCAAGCAAGTACACTTCAACACGTGCACTTTGAGTTCTTTATGTAAAAGCTGCAAGATTTCTTCGTCGCTAGCTCTGCAAAAGTTTGGAATTTATTCTCAGACAAGTCTTGGATTATTTCATGATTTCTCAGCGCGCAGCTCTGGAGAAAACCGGAATTTCTTCGCAGAACAGCAGAAATCGTGGCTTTCTCCAGAGCTGCGTGCGGAGAAATCATGATATTCTCCGGACAGAAGTAGCAGTCACTTGCAGCCACTTGGCAGCCACTTGCAGCCACTTCCTTGGGCAGCCACTTGCAGCCACTTTCAAGCGGCTGCAAGTGGCTGCAAGTGACTGCAAAACGGAAACTCAAAATGCGCACCTCCTGCGAGCTCAATGGATTTTTTTGACACAGAACTAAATGATACTGAGTCCCAGAAACTTGATCTCTACAAGGTGTTTGCTTCCAGCTCAGGAGCGCTGAAAACACCTGGAATTCCTTAGACCTCCTGTTTTGCTCCCCGAGGAGTCTATGAAGACACCAAAGTACTATGTTCTAGACGCAGCTGCGTTTCTTGCTGATGTTCACCAGTTCACCCCTCAAACCAGAAAAAGAAAACAAAAATCAAGAATCCAATCGAATCCACAGGGTCCATAGGCCACATCAGGCCTGCGACACAGCTTGATCCTTAAAATGTCTTGAAACATCCAGTCTCATTTCACCAAAAAAGCACAGGCTTTGTGCTGGAGTCTGGCATTTAATAGTCTGGCCCCTCCCAGCGTATCCTTGCGCCCGCACAAAATCTCGGATCTGGCCATTGCTCCAGGTCAGGAAGCCACCTGAAGTCACAAGCGAATCAAACTCGAGCAGGAGAAGATTATGATGATTGAAGTCTAAAGAGACAAAGATAGACAAAGTGTTTCCTAACTAAAACTATTCCTTCTGTCAAGCCAGGTGTATTGACTATAATCAAACCGTCCGTCTTCACAGCCTTCCCAGCGCGGCCCCGCGGTTTTGGGGGCCGGGCAGCCATCCCGGTCACACCTCACTGGCATCTTCACGGATGAAGTGAATTACCATCTCTCCGTTGGCATCTTCGTTGGAGTTCCTTTCTGAGACTCATCCATATGACGATGATCTGATGTGACGTGTCTTTAATGCGAGATCAACCAGCCGCAGGCACAGTACAGTGTACCATTCTATAACATATCATAACCTAAAGCCGTCGGCCAGGGCCCACACTCCCTGAAGGCGTGCAAGGCGGTTCGAACCTCCAAAACAATTTGGCTGCGCCAACGGCGAACCTCTACTCGATCACTCGACGAGTGGTTCGGACGAGATCGGACGAGTGGTTCGGCGCCGATCACTCGGTGCCCCCCACGTGCATGCCACTGTCGATGGCCTGCTGGATGCGCAGCAGCGACCTCGGAGCACCCAGGTCGAGGCGTCGACCGAGGCGCCTCTCCCGGGAGCTGGATGGAACTCTCCGGATCGATCGCCCAGGCACTGGGAGTTGGCGATGGCCACCACCCGCATCACCTCGTGCGGCGGTGCAACGAACGACCAAGAAGGGCCGGGCAGTCACTTGCGCACTGGGAATTTCGGTCACTTGCGCACTTTGGGTCACTTGCGCACTTGGCATCAAAAA